GCATTTTAAAGGGTTATGTATCATGTAAATTTGTCTCAATTTAGTTAGTTAGACTTTAAGTATTACAGTAGCAAAAAAATTAAAGAAATATTGGAATTTATGCTCATCATTGATGAACAATTTTTGAAGTCACACCTTCTCTCAAATGTGAAATTGAAAATTAAAATCAGGTACGAAGATTATATTTTTTATAGGTAGGTGTAGTAACGTAAAGTTTGAAAACCAATGTTTTAAAGCATGTAAAAAACTTAATAAATAAATATTGTTGTACTAGAAAATCATAATTTTAGGTCTACTAAACTGAATATTAAAAAAAAATAAGAGTTAGAATTTTGCTTTGCGATGATTTGAAAAATTGAAAGAAGAGAAACCGCTGCCGCATGGAAAAAAAAACAATAATAAAATTGCGTGTTAAATGTTCTTAGAGCTAAGTTAATTAAAACCTGGAGCTTCGGGTTTTCCGCGGTGTGTGACGAAGGAATAAAGCGAATGTACCATAATTCAATAACAGGGCAATTCCTTTTCGGAGTCGTAACGATCGCTCAAAGTGCCGCGCGATGCCCGACGATATAATAATGGCAGTCCTCGTTGATGAAATAAAAATTTTAATTTTGCATGGAACGATTAACTCTCAATTTTATTTTTCTCAATCGAGCCAGGAAATTCATCTCATCTCGTCTTCATTTTGATCCTCATTTTCGTCTTCTCCCATCGTGTTTTTTTTTAAATTTAATAGCTTTTTTGCCGGAGCGTAAAATTTCCCTAACGTTGGGCCATCTCCAATCAAGCCGCTTTTAACTAATTAACCGATCCCCGGGAATAATGAGTGAGATCGTTTATAATTAGTTAATTAAAACATCCATCGATTGGCGAAAGTGGATGATATAATGCTGCTTGTGGATCTGCACGAAGACTTTTGAGTGGGCGAAGGTTGTCTATATTCTACGTTGGATGGCTACTGCGATTGAGCTGCGTTCGTCCTTAATTAAATCTCGATCGGGTGAAAACAACAAGCATGTGTTTGTTTCCGTGGAGTCCATTAAATTTTGCATTCGGTTCGCGCGAATTAATAGTGCAGGAACTGCGTCTTCTTCGGTTCCAATCGAGATAAATAAATTGCGCAGCGCGATGGGATGTTGAGGGTTGCTGCTGCTGATGTTGTTGTTGTTGCAGGAGGGATGAAGAGAGAGAGTGGGGTGCGGTGGGATGTTCGGTTGAGGTTCGGTTTAGGGGCGCCGCGCGATGATTATTTTTATTGTGTTTGCGGTGGCGGCCAGGAAAAAGCAATTCATCAACCGAGGGATGACGAAATGTCCATATTGATCCTCACTTGGATGGAAAGCGAGATAGTGTGGACGGACATAGGGATGTTTGTATGTCTACTACACCGTGAATGCGTCTCTTCTATCGCTCTCTTTCTCTATCCTTGCGTGTGTCTACACACATATACAAATATATCCTGCAAATTTATTATATTAAAATGATTTCCAACAGGGATTTGGATTAATAATTGAGGAAATCTCAGCATTTCAGATTAACATTAATTCGTGTAACGCTCGAAAAAATATTCATACAATATTTATTACAATTGTAACTATACGTGACATAAGATATAAATATCTGTCAGGTTCACCTACAACTATGTAAACATGACAGCTGTCATTCCATTTTTTTTCTAATGAAATGAATAATGACTGTAAATGACAAACAACGGCTGCTGTTTATTTTTCATTAATATTACGGCCCTAATTTTTGCCATAAATTGTTGCTTGTCGGCGCTAACACTTTGATGTGACCGTTAAGTAAAAATATACGACTAATATTATGAATTATATCAATTTCATGACTTATTGAAATATTACAAAACATAAGTATATATTTTAATATTTTATTTTCTTAACCTGAAGATTTGTCTCCATCCCACACATTTATTATAACATAGATTTATATTGTCGTGTTATGTAAGGTTTGGTTATGTAAGATTAGGACAGCAACACAAAGTCTAAAGTTCTACGAAGATGTCATGTTTAATGTAGTGAGTTAGCATCAATATTATAAAGATGAAAGTGGAGAGGTTTTAATAAGAAATGGTCCCTGCGTAAGGTTTCCAATCCTATTAAAAATTGGTTAGATAAAGATAAGTTAGTTTAGTAAATTTGGTAATGTTATATTTGCTAAAGTGTCAATGAAAATGATTGTGTCTAGTTTTATGTCAGAATTGGAAATATCCAAACAAAATGGATCTTGATTTGCAATATTTTATTTATATGTAAACAAATGCAATATAAATGTTATATAAGTTCGACTCAATAGATGAAATTTAAAAAAAGGCCAGTATTTAAAAATTTTAACATTGACAGTTGTGGTTAGGTTAGAATCTGATGACAGCTTTGTTGAGATGAACTAATTCAGAATTGCCATAAGGTTAGGTTACTTCTATATTTTTGTATGACAATATGATCTTATCTAATTATGAATGAAATCTTACGTTTTGTTTGGCGAGTTGCAATGAGTAATGAATGAATAATATAGTCACAGTACTTGTTGGTCAGTTTTGTCCATTAATAATATGTAATATTTGTTTAAACAGATATATTAAATCTTGAACATTTGTACTCAATATAGTAATACCTCGATTAACGAAGCTTCAATATATAGAACTTCGACAACATTAATAGTTCTTGGACAAAAGTCACTAAGTTAGAAAATTTAGAAAAATTTATTAGTATTGAAGATAAATAAAATAAAGACGAAAACAACTAAAGATTTAAAAATGACATTTTAAATGTGTTTAGTGAAAATGATGATTTAAAAAGATGTTTTATTGTTACGTTTATTCAAAAATTAAGTGTACTTGACAATATTTAAAAGAAATAGTTATATAAGAATTTGATTTAAAGTAAATTGAGATTTGCAGTTTTATGAACAATTTAGTTGTTGTCTGCATGAAAACGTATGAATCAAAGATGAAATAATGGAATTGTCTGTCTGATGATGTACAGACTAATGCTTTTTAAGAAATTAGAATGTAATAACGAATACAATTAGACTGTCGTCATGGGTTCTTTGTTCTGCGCTTATTTCTTCGAGTGGTCTATCTGTATAGAGGATCTTACGGTTAAAATGTACAGTGCAAAAAAGCGTCTGCACTTTACGTTTAACCCGGCCTGAACCCCGGCAGATTACATTACAAGTGGAAGCTTTTATATTGTAAATGGAAGCGCTGCTAACTTTCGTTGTTAAATTATAAGTATGATTTTATTAAAGATACATCTTTTTCAACTCAACTACAATAATAAAACAATTATTATTAATATTAATATCAAGAGTTAATTCAGTTAATATAAAATAATAAAGAAATATATCAGAGACAGAAAATATTTACTTTTTTCTAAGTAGACTTTAAGGTACATTAATAAGTTTAATAAGATTTCAAAAGGAAGCACTAGCAGTCGAATTTTATTGAAAAAATACTTATTAGTTGATCAAAGGGATTGCTGCAGGATATTTCAAATTTCCATAATATATAATTAATATGCATATATTTTTTTTCATCTCAGAATAAAATGGATTTTCTTATATATATAGAATAATGCATAACAAACAGTGTTATTTCATGTAATTAGTTGTTATTTAGTAAATAAAATAACAGAAAAATGTTTTGTGCTTAATGAATTTACATCAGTTTTTCTTTCGATTTTCATCGTACTAAACTCAGTTCTAGACTTAAAACATTGATTTTAGTACCTGGACGAGATATCAAACATCTGTTTCGAAATAGAAGACATTATTCAATATTCAGAATTAATGAGTAATTAATTATTCATTATTTTGTAGCCGTTATTATGATATTTATGTTTTTAAATAAATGTGACGTTAATTGATTGCTTCATTCAGTTGTAAATTCGTATTATGTTATTCATTTTATTGAAATTGTGAGGCTGACAGAGTAATTATAACAATGCAATTTTTTAATTACAATATTTAATCAATTTATTAGTAAATAACAGTTAAGTAAAATTTGGAATAAATATTACATTTCTTTGTGCTTTAGTTAAACATAAAATTAGAAAGAATGAGCAGTAGTTAAATATTTAATTAAATGCAAGTAATTAATTTAATTGAATCATATAAAATATATGTCATTATTCTTTTTTATAGAAAAATTCAAGCCAAAATTTTTATAAAAATGTTATATTTAATCTAAATTTTACATCTCATACATAATTTATAAGTAATTTTGTTAATAACTTATTTATTACGTATATATTATGGTTTCGATTAATCCGGATTTACTTTAGTCCAGTTTGAAAATATCAAAACAAACTGTATTTTAACACAGCTAATCGTTTTTGTGCAGACTCTTATTGTGCGGTTTATTTCCTTTGATTCAGCTCCAAACAGTGCGAGATATTGGTATGCTAAAACTATGCGAGGTATTTCCATTAAATGTTTTATGTAATGTAAATTAATTTGTTATAAATTAAATCATTTTATGAAATGTTTATTAATTAAACACTTATTGCAGAATTTATGTTTGTTGAATTAAAAATGAAATATAAGTAAATCTATTTGTATATTATGTAATTTATTAATAATTCATTAAGAATTCTATGAAAAGTGTATTTTAAATGTAATCTCTTTATGATCTCTACTTTGTAACGGATTATAGACTACATAAATTTTAATCGTTAGGGTTTACTAAAAAAATACCTTATTTGATTATTGAATTAAGTATTTCATTGTAAATATTGTATTGAAATTATTGTTGTAGTCTTTACAATGTTGGAATTCTTGAAGTTTTGAGGTAAAATGTATCCTTATGTATGCATTGAACGTAAATTAGTGTAAAGGAAATTAAAGATTAAAGCAGTGAACGTTTCTTGTGTATTGAATTGAGTATTTGTATAAATATTTGATGTCTTCGGTGCAGTAAAATCGTAAATCTGGTTGAATCGATAGTTTGGTTGTTGGCGACTAGAGATTTGGTAGTAACATACCTGCGTATTGAGCTGCGGTGAAGATGGGATGTGTCCATCGGAAACGGGCGTGTGCACTCTGACTTCTGCCAAGGCATCCCTGGATCCGTCTCTGGACACTGTGGTAGAGTTGTAACTGGCGAGGAGATCTCGCGAAGAGTTTCTGGAGAGGACAGCATTGAAGGTGTCGTTCGGTCTGCTGCTCCTCAAGAACGTCGGCGTCGCGGTTTTCCTGGAAGTAGCAGTCGCCGCTGCAGCTGTCCCCGGCTGCGTATCTCGAGTGTTGTTGAAGTCGATGCGGCTGTCCTGTCTGTTGTAATTATTCGTGCAACGGGATCCGCTTAATCCGTCCCTGCAAGGTCCAGGTCCGGAGGACTGGATCGTAAACACCGATCCCGGACGCCTACGTGGGTCACCTCTCGCGGCGGCCATCACGTAGCTCCACATCGCTGGGCATGGCACGTCTTCGACACCCTGCAAAAATAAACAGCAGACCAGACTTTAATCATCCATCCACTCTTGTCGATCCTCCGGGACGGATTATTATACAACATCGCGCCGTAAAAAAATAAAATAGAATTCAACCCAAAAAAAATTAGGAGATAAAGTTGCCAAATATAAAAAAGCAAGGAAACGACGAATCAAATATATTCCGTCTTAGGTTTACGTAAAAAAATAAGGGATGGACGGATATCTCGTTAAACTCTCTTCTCATCTCCCACATCCAGCATACCTTTTTCAACGAATCTGGATTCAACTATGTTTCGGGGTCCTGTCTTCATCGTTCGACATCCGATATTTTTATCCCACGCTCCAAAATCTGGTTTTATATTATTTCATTACATTTCGACGAGATCAATACTAGTATGCACAGTATTTATTGGTCAAGACGGTGATTATCGATATTACAATTAATTATTTATTTGTATTTGCAATATTAAATATTTCGAAAGAAGCGTAGACGTTCCAGGTGTCAAATTACTGGGTAAGTAGCGTGTACTTAATGAAACGAGATATATTGCTTGTGTTAAATTACTTGACAAGTAGTGTAAACTACACGCAAAATCGACAATTTACTTCTACTTGTATTGCATTAAAATGAAATGCTCTCATCTATACTATAATTAATTATATATTGGTATTTAATATTGTATCAATTATGAAAGAAGCTAAGACATTTCAGGTGTCAAATTACTTGGTAAGTAACGTGTATTTAATGAAACGAGTCACATTACTTGTGTTACATTACTTGACAAGTAGCTCAAAGCACACGCGAAATCGACAGTCTTTAATATTGTATCGGCTACGAAAGAAGTGGAGACGTTTCAGGTATCAAATTACTTGGCGAGTAGCGCGAACTTGTGTATAATTAAAGTTCCAAAGCATGTCAGTATTTTTTAACAACTATACTTTCGCAAAATATTTAAAAATTATTGAAAAAAAGGAATTTTAATTAAATTTACAAAGAAAAGCTGTGTAATTCTACAAATTATGAATGCAGGATTAATTTAATGAATAACATTAATTGTAAATAAACATATTGACTAAAACAAAGAAATCAATGATGAAATATGTCTTGAGGTCTTTCATCCATGTGCGTATTAGTTTTATTAGTTTTATTTCATTTTTTTCTGTTCTTATATCGAATTTGCAGTACAAATATCCTATTTTGTGAGACACCTTTCGGTACGTGTTGATGCTACGTGACATAGTGTTTGGAGAGCAATGAAATCCGTGCCACAATCTTCAAATATCCATACATTACTGTGTAAAATATTTGTTATTTAATACACAAAATTATTTTTTTTGTATACATAAATGATCTTTTTTTTTTTTCACTTTATACGGTCAAATTTTTGTACTTTTGATTTTAATGCTGTTCTAAAGTCCTCGATTAGTCCGGTATATTGACGGAACTGATTACCTTCAATATGCGATATATTGCTGTATTGAATATTACGACATATTAAAACAATTTAGTTAAAAATGGAAAATATACAAACTAATTAATTATCTAATGTTTATTTTGTTATAAACCTCACAGACTGTTCAATATACAATTTTCGAGTATTGTAAATATACTTCATGTGTATGAATGAAGATAGTTGAAAAGCAGCAGTTCTTTGTAGGACTTTTCCTCTATTATTTTTGTCTCTCTTTTCAATGTACAAAGTCCGACTGTTGTTTGTGCATCCCATCGTCAGATAAAGTTTTAGGTCAACAACTGGAACCAATTTATATAGACTCCTATATCCCCGTTATTTGCATGCCACTTTATATAGTCATTGATCGTCCATCGCAATATATTTTTTACGTCCGTTCGCTTCGAATTGAATTCCTTTTTTTTCACATCGACGTACTTTTACAGTGCATTACGTGGTTTACCTTTCGTGCCTTTTGTTAACGTTCGCCCGTTTCATTTATACACACGTTAATTTGATGTTATAAGTGCGCACTTCAATGGTGTTTTGCTTAATTTGATTTTTTTGTTGACCGACATTAGAGATTTAATGAAAACGTAATTTTCACGTTTTCGAATGTAGCATAGAAACACGCATTCATTTAAATAGAATTTTGTCAATTTGAATTATACCAAAATTGAAAGTTTTGTACACTTTGTCTCTTTATTATTATTGAGTAATTTAACTATTGTTCGTTTAATTAGAAAATAGTGTCGTTTGTGGATTTAATTTCCTAATTATCATTGATTTTATTGTTGTCTTTCTCAGTAATATGTATCATATAGGTAATAAGCTAAAGTGATGGATTTGATAAAAAATAAATCGACTATTACGTGATTATACATCTGTTTAATTTAAAACATTGTCCAAATAAACATTATTACTTATGGTTATCTACAATTTTTATTCGAAGAGTATATTAGAAATTTATTGATTGCTTAAGATGATGTTTTTTTTTTCAGTGGAAGATTTAGAAAACCTTCTTAACAAAGAAGATTAAGACGAATTTAAAGAAGTTAACAACCAAAGATTTAAATACCCTTAAATTATGCAATTTAAACTTATATTTTGCATAAAAGTTGAATATTTATTTAATAAAACTTTTCTTTGTTTGAAAACTATCTTTTCATTATTTTTTTTTATAGTGCCGTCAAAGTCAATTTTTATTTGGGTTATTGTCATCGAATTATTTCTTCTTAGTTAAATTTATAATTTTTTATAGGAAGATTTCCGATGGGAATGCATCCTATTCGTTAATCAAATATACAGATACGTCTTTATATTTGATCAGGAGACTGAGAAAAATTATATGTAGTTATTTACAATTTTCTTGTTTACAATTAAGTTTATAAGTCGAATATTGATCACAATAAGTAGATTACCATAATTTCCCATGTGTATCCTGATAAAACTCACATTATTGATTGTTATTGTCTACATAATTTTAATATATTAAAGTAACATAAATACTTCCGATTATTACATTTTGTAACTATTTTTTTACGTTTATATTTAAAGATTTTATACTTTAATTAAATCCAATAATAATTATTTAGTTAGCAATAATTATAATTTTATAAATAGTAGACTTTCTTTTTTCAGTATTCTTCAATTTTTTACAAATCTATGCAGTTATAAAATATATTTTTTAAGATCAGAAGAACTTTTGTAATTTGCAGAATTATTGCAAATACAGTAAAACGCCGATTATGTGGAATACTATTATTGAGTTTTTATTATATCCCTACAAAAATATCATCGACTTTGATGATTCATAATGATTTTCCAAAATATATAGTTTTTACTATTTGTTATGCAATTTCACTTCTGTTCTGATTATATTAGTTATTACATTAGTGTTGTGTCATCTGCAAATTGTTGAATGTATATATATTTATATTATTTGATGTAAGTAGAACTGACAAATAAGTTCACTTTCTATGCGAAACTTAAAGAACTTCATCTTCTTTTAAACTATATAGAACAGCAGTCGGAAGGGGGCAAATTAAATGGGGTAAAAGTGAATTCTTAGGGAAAACGTCCTTATTTAGAAATTATAATTCTTCTATGTTTCAATGAAAAATATTAGATTATGCAGAACATTCACTCCCCGTCATAATGGGATAATGTCGGCGTAAATGAATATATTTTAGAAAATAGAAGACACGGTGAAACT